CATGCAGAATAACGAGACGTACGCCGCCTGGGTAGATCGTCATGCTCGCCTAGTACAAGAACATGAGCAGGGAGACGCTTGGCGCGAGCTGAGGACTGCCGAACTACTTTTGTCTTCTCCCGGTGTCGAAATTGCTACGCGGCCGTGGCTGTATCCCTTGGCATCCTACGCTGACACGGACCTGCAGCATCGCCTGAAGAAGCTGGGCTGGATGGCCGACAACAGCACGCCATCCATTCGGACCGGTTTCATGCGAAAGCTCTTGAGCCGCTGCCTTGACTACTCCCGCGACTTTCCCTTGCATTGCCTTCTCTACGACACATGCCTAGCGAAATCCATTACCTCGATCATCAACGTGGCCAATCAGAAAAACATCGCTCCAGAGCATGCCGCCCACGAGCAGGATACCTTCGAAGGCTATTGGCTGCTGCAGATACGCAAGCTGGAGGACATCTGCAGGAGAGAATACGAATCCAGCAGAGACATGAATCGGGCCTTGCCAAACGTTTTCTTCACGGTGGCTCCCGCGGAGTGGCGCTATGTCTTGCCGATGGAGTTGACGTTTGAGGAATCTCTCAGCAATCAACAAGCTATGATGACTCTACACCTCTATCACAGCCTACATGCTCTACTGGAGGAGCATATTTTCGAGAACGGCAAGAGTCTGGCGGAGATCGGCATCAGCACAGTACGCCATTGGAGCATTCGATTTGAGTTCCAATCGCGTGGCACACTGCATGTCCACGCCCTCCTCTGGGCCGACCTGCTCCCGGGCTGGGCAGTCGACGACATTGCTGGCCGAACGGGACACTCTCGGAGTAACTTCCTAGACTTGCTGGAGAGATTGTTCAAGTCTCGAGCCGACGTTCAATGCGGCGACGGCAGCCATTGCCTTCTCCGCTACGTGGCCGGCTACGTGGCCAAGGCCTCGGACGCCCTTCAGTTCAATCTCAAGCAACTCGAAGGCGAGTCGACTTGGCGCCAGGCCTACAGACTGCTCACCAAGAAATCGCCCACAGAGCAAGAGATCATTATGGAGTTTGCGGGTTTGTCGATGGTTAAGCACAGTTTCAGCGGCCACGACGTCCATGCCCCAATCCCTGGCAGTGCTGCCAGAAACTCTTCTCGGCATGCATACAACGCATACCAGTGTTACCTCAAGAAGTCCGAAGATGTGTTTGGATGCTCCCGCAGCTATTCATTTGTGCAATGGCTCCGAAAATTCCGCGTCACCGGCAACTCTCTGGAAGACATGACCCTGCATCTTCGCAACCAACGCGGACCCAAAGCAAACAAGCCGTGCAGCGTCGCAGTCGCCTTTCCATTCGAGCTCTTAGACATCTACGTTGGCGCCTGGGCCGCCACATGCCTGCCCGGTATGCTTGAGGAAAGACTTTTGCCGAAAGTGCCGGACAACTTGAAGTTAGACGGCTTCGAGGTCGAGCTCCGCCGACGCCGATCCTTCGAATGCCCTGCTCACTGTGAGCACGTGAGGGCCGTCCTGTCGCTCGACGATTTCCAGTTGCCCGGCGCAGACCCCGACGTCTACAGTCCAGACCTCAGCAAGTTCTTCGATCTCGTCGTGCCGGAGCTCACCCTGCGTGGTCTGAATACCGATCGCATCGCAACGTTCAAGGCAAAGATCGAGGCGACGAACATGCTCTTATTGGCCATTCACCGCGGCCTCGAAGACCCCAGCAATTGGTCTTCGCACAGGCTTCCAGCTTTTCCTCGGCCGGTCTGGTCGCCCGAGCAACAACAAGTCCTGAAGTGGGTGAGCGACGGACTCAGGATCAGCGACGCGGCAGCCATGGCAACATCTCCGCGCATTTTGCAAATCTCCGGATCCCCAGGCACCGGAAAAACAGAAGTAGTGATCGGAGCTGCACGCATGGCTTTGGACAGTGGCTGCGCCGTTCTCATCGGCGGCCCCATCGGCCTCTTGGTGGCGATGTACAAACTCCGACTGCCGGCATCAGAGCTCCTGACCATGGAGACAATCCACTCAGCTTTCAAGTTGACGCGCGAGGCTGACGAAGCCTACATCCCTCCCGGCAGGCTTCGCAGATACGATGTTATCATCCTCGACGAGGTGTCCCAGATCGATGCCAGGGCTTGGAGACAGCTTCAAACCGCCTTTCGCGAGCTGCATCCCGGTCCACTCATTCTCTTTGTCGGTGACTTCCAGCAACTGCAACCTATCTCAGGTGGCCCTGTCCTCCAGCAAGATCTACAACACGAGGTGGATAATGCGANNAGTCGCGCATGTACAACTCAAGCAACACGAAATGGCCAGATCCGTCGAGCCTGCCATGCTTGAGTTCCTGCATAAGATCCGTCTCGAACAGCCCTCGCGCGAGGATCTTCAAGACTTCTTCGCAAACAGAATTTGGCCATCGGATCATGTTGCAGCGACATCCAAGGCTATGCAGTTCGAGAGAGACACCGGCAAACGCTTCATGATCCTGACGGTGACCAACAAGGAGGCCGAACGCTTCAACCAAGCCCGTCTACGTCTCCAGTTCCCATCGGCCGTGCAGCGTCTCGCGAACGGTGGCGGTCTACCAGCCGATCAGGGCCACGTCGTCATCGAGACAGGAATGCGCATCCGTCTCACCCACAACGTCAACAAAGAGGAGGGCTTTGTCAATGGCAACACTGGCACGGTCCGGCTCGTCTTGCGCCATGACGTTTATGTCATGGAATCGCCACATCATGCCTCCATTCTGGTGTATCCTATCACGGTCAAAGGGCGAAGGTACCTGCCCGTAACCTATGGTTACTCCACGACTATG